TTGTCATTGGCCATCTATTCTTCTATCTTTCCCACAAACGGCGCCAAATTGTGTGGGTGATTTTTGGGTCCAATGGGTCTAGCCCATTTTGCCCATAACCTCTCCCTCTAAAACACTTGGGTACCCCTTGGGCAAGATAGTTGATAGTTGTGAATTGGTTTGGACGTCATCTTCTTCATTTTGAATCCTCATGACATCAATACATGACTTTCCCCGGAGTTCACAAGCAAAGCTTTCAAGTAATCGGTAACATTAACTCGCCGGAATATAGCAGGAGTTTGAGAAGTGATGAGGCTGGGAGCCGGACCCACATCTAGTTCCAAATTTGCACCGAGAAATGTGGCGATGGAGAGTCTCTCTTTCTCGGAGTCAACTGTTGCTCTGTGCTCTATGCTCTTGTATATTCCATTTGTCACCATCTGCCAAATACCATGGAAGTCAAAATGACAATAGACTTCCCACTGCCTAGTTGTGTGTGGCCATGATAAACTGGCCAATGATCTTCTATCTGATATTTCATAACGCTCACCACAACTACTGAATCATTAGAAAATTTAGAGATATGATAATTTAATGAATGTGAATGGTTTGGAACAATAGAACAAAAAGATTTAAAAAAAAACAATAATGGTAAAAAATGTTAAAAAAGAATATTTATGCTATATAAAAAGCTAATTGAAGAATTTAAAAAATAAAATAAAAGTTATTCTATATATAATATAAAATTATTCACACTACAAGAAATAACACTTTTGGCAACCGAATTTAGCAACTAAAAAAAAATTGGACGCCAAAAGCTATTGAATTAGCGACCAAATATTTTATTAGTCGGCAAAAGTAAAAGATTTAGCTACTAAAGCTTTTTAGTCGGTGAAAATTGCTTATCGGCGACTAAAGAAAATTTAGTCGCTAATTATCAAACAATTGGCGACTACAATATTATTTAGTCGCTAAAAATTGCGTAATTGGCGACAAAATTAAATTTTAGTCGTTGTACAAATGACTTTTGGCTCCTAAAATTATTTAGTCACCGAATGATGTAGCTGCTAAATTTGTTTAATCGAGAAATATAGTTTATTGGCGACCAAAAAATATTTTTGTCGCTAAATATTCCATCATTGGCTACTAAAAGAAATTTTAGTCGGTGATAGTATATATTTTACACTTCCAAATTATTTTTGGTCGGCGTATTATACCTTTTGCCAACAACATAATATTTAGTTGCCAAATGTCGGAATATGATATTGAAAACTTTTTAGCAACCAACAAAAATTCAGTTGCTGTATATGTTTTTAACTCCTTATATTATTATATATTAACATTTCCTGACAAATACAACATTTAGTCGCTAAAGATCGAAATTTTTTAGAGGGAGTTATTTTATATTCGCACCTTACACATTTTGCCTCTCTGTACCGCCACCACCGCTCTCTCACACAGATCAATAACTAGCAAACCTCACCACCGCGCATCCTCAGCACCGTCTTCCCCGTACGCCTCAAATCAGCACCACCACTGCAGCTAACAGGTTCGGTCTTTTTCTCACTCCCTTTCGGTCTCTTACTCTGTCGGTCTCTGTCTCACTCTCACTCTCTCTCTCTCTCTCTCTCTCTCACACTACCCTTCTTCTATTTCCCCATATGGTTTTGCTCTAGGGTTGTTTATTCTACCTGTTCAGTTTAATTTTTTGTTCATTTCTGCAATGGGTTGTTTGAAGTGGTTTCATTACTAGAGTTTTATGGGCTTCATGTTGCAAATGGGTTTGAGTTTAGGGTTTGATGCCTTTCCCCCTCTTTTTCCTTTCTCTCTCATTATTTTCAAAGCCTTAATCCATTGATTGTCTATGTATTTGCATGTATGGGGTACTCATTGATTGTCTATCTAATCTCATGTATTCTGATTATTTTCATTGAAATTTTCTGTCTTGTATTCTACTCGTCATTATTTTCTAAATCTGTTTATGTAAATCTGTGTATGAAATTTACATACACAGATTACCTCTTATCAAAAAAGTTCTTTATCATTACCACAAGAATACATAATATATACTACAAAAATATATAACATGTACATAGAGTGTGTAACATAGAGTTTCTCAATTTATGTTGTCTAAATTATAGAAATTATCTTTTTACCTGAATAGACATGTCCAATTAGACTAGGGGGTGTTTGGGAAGTAGGTTGGAGGCTAAAATAGTCAATAAAGACAAAATAAGTTAAAATAGTCAATAAGAAAAATGTCACATGTAAACCATAATTATTTCATTTTTTTTTTCTCTCATAATCATCAAATCAACTATAAAAACAAGACAACCAACTTTCCAAACACACATTTTTTAGCCAAACTAAAATAGTAAAAAAAAAAACAATTAAAATAGCCAACTTTCCAAATGAGGTCTATATGAACTGAAATCCGGAACTCTAGAAACTAAAAGTATGAAATAGATGATTTAAAGATAAAAGTGAAATTAACCGTTTTCATACCCACATCTAGTTCCAAATTTGCACCGAGAAATGTGGCGATGGAGAGTCTCTCTTTCTCAGAGTCAACTGTTGCTCTGTGCTCTATGCTCTTGTATATTCCATTTGTCACCATCTGCCAAATACCATGGAAGTCAAAATGACAATAGATTTCCCACTGCCTAGTTGTGTGTGGCCATGATAAACTGGCCAATGATCTTCTATCTGATATTTCATAACGCTCACCACAACTACTGAATCATTAGAAAATTTAGAGATATGATAATTTAATGAATGTGAATGGTTTGGAACAATAGAACAAAAAGATTTAAAAAAAAACAATAATGGTAAAAAATGTTAAAAAAGAATATTTATGCTATATAAAAAGCTAATTGAAGAATTTAAAAAATAAAATAAAAGTTATTCTATATATAATATAAAATTATTCACACTACAAGAAATAACACTTTTGGCAACCGAATTTAGCAACTAAAAAAAAATTGGACGCCAAAAGCTATTGAATTAGCGACCAAATATTTTATTAGTCAGCAAAAGTAAAAAATTTAGCTACTAAAGCTTTTTAGTCGGTGAAAATTGTTTATCGGCGACTAAAGAAAATTTAGTCGCTAATTATCAAACAATTGGCGACTACAATATTATTTAGTCGCTAAAATTTGCGTAATTGGCGACAAAATTAAATTTTAGTCGTTGTACAAATGACTTTTGACTACTAAAATTATTTAGTCACCGAATGATGTAGCTGCTAAAATTTTTTAATCGAGAAATATAGTTTATTGGCGACCAAAAAATATTTTTGTCGCTAAATATTCCATCATTGGCTACTAAAAGAAATTTTAGTCGGTGATAGTATATATTTTACACTTCCAAATTATTTTTGGTCGGCGTATTATACCTTTTGCCAACAACATAATATTTAGTTGCCAAATGTCGGAATATGATATTGAAAACTTTTTAGCAACCAACAAAATTCAGTCGCTGTATATGTTTTTAACTCCTTATATTATTATATATTAACATTTCCTGACAAATACAACATTTAGTCGCTAAAGATCGAAATTTTTTAGAGGGAGTTATTTTATATTCGCACCTCACACATTTTGCCTCTCTGTACCGCCACCACCGCTCTCTCACACAGATCAATAACCAGCAAACCTCACCACCGCGCATCCTCAGCACCATCTTCCCCGTACACCTCAAATCAGCACCACCACCGCAGCTAACAGGTTCGGTCTTTTTCTCACTCCCTTTCGTTCTCTTACTCTGTCAGTCTCTGTCTCACTCTCACTCTCACTCTCTCTCTCTCTCTCTCTCTCTCTCTCACTACCCTTCTTCTATTTCCCCATATGGTTTTGCTCTAGGGTTGTTTATTCTACCTATTTTTAGAAAACAAAAATTACAATCAAATTCATGCTGGTTTTATTATTTAGCTGTTTATAGTGTAGTAGTGTTGTGGGCTGTGGCTTGCTGTCCACTGGTAGTTTGCTTTGTTTCCTCCATGGTTGGTTTTCGGACCAACCTCTTGGCTTGAAATAGTATATGGTTGTAGTTTTTTTTTTTTTTTTGATATCAACATAGTTGAGATTAGGAAGGTATACTACGATGAGTGTATATATATATATTTTTTTGTTTCTGGCCAAGCATATGACTGAGTTTTTTTTTTTTTTGTAAGTATAACAATATGTAATGTATATTTTATTATCATCAATAAAGATTCATTTTTTTTGTTGATAAAAAAAATGTATTAATAATACCAATTTAATACTATAATCCATCTAATCAAACAGAGCGTATATGTTACAATTTTCATTACATATACCATTTGATGAGACTTGGCCTTGTTTAGGAACAGGCTAATCTAGTAACTTTTTGGTTATTTGGCTAAAATATAAGCTAAAAAAAATTAATATGTTTGGGATTACTTTTTGATTTTTAGGAAAAGATGTGCAAAAAATATAGAAAAAAGAGAATTTTTGATTTTTGGTATGAATTGTTGGCTTTTTAATTTTTTTAATAATTTTTTGGCTTTTTGGCTAAACCGACTAGTCCTCAAACGAGGCCTTAATTGGGTCATTATATTAAATTTATGTAATTGTGCCAGAAATTATTTAATTAATTTTTATTTTATTTTTTATCCGCGAAGAAAACATTTTATTGATGAACCTCAAGAATTAAATGGATAATATATAATTGCTTTCCATACATGTACACTCCACAAAGATAGACATAATTAAATTTGAAAACAGCCAACTAATTAATACTACAATGATTAGTTAACGAAGGGAATTTTCTCTAGTTAGCACTACAGGAAAAATAGGTTTTAATGGCGTTCTTTTAGTGACGTTTTTTTAAACGTCACTTTTCTTAATTTTTAACGGCGTTTTTATAAACGTCGCATATTGTTTAAGCAAAACGACACCGTTTTTATAATTGAAGGCATTTAAAACCGCCTCCAAATGCGGTAGGATCACGTGCTGATCCTTCTTTGTGAAACCCTTATTTTGAGCCCTTTCTCTCTCTCAACCATTATATACACACACATCTCTTTCTCTATCTCTAAGCGATTATTGATAACTCTAGGAAGAGGCCTCGTCTCTCGAAAGATCAATCGGCTATGCTTGAAGAGAGCTTCAAAGAACACAACACTCTCAATCCTGTAAGTATACATAACATTGAGTCTTAGCTTGAAGCTCAGCTATGGAGATCGAGGTAGTTTGGTTATTTTACTAAGATCTCTGTGATTTCTCTCTCTCTCTCAACCCTTACACGCACACATTTCTCCATTGAAGCTCCATCTGCACCGACGATTTTGAAGATGCAGAGTGATTTCGAAGCGATTTCGAAGATTCAGATCGATTTCGAGATTCAGAGCGATTTCAAAGCTCCATCGCCACCACCATCTGCACCGGCGAGGTAGCGAGCTCCACCGTCTCTCTCTCTCTCTCTCTCTCTAGATCTCTATCTCTCTTTAGATTTATGAAATCAATGTTTTAAGGCATTCTTACTTGATCTTCATTTGCAGAGATTCATAGATGCAGTGATTCAGAGATTCAGTGATTTCAGAGCGATTTTGTTTTCGAAGCTCCACCCCCACCACCATCTGCACCGGTGATTTTGATTTCACTAAGGTGAGCTCCACCGTCTCTCTCTCTCTCTCTCTTTCAGTTTCCTCTCAAATTACTTCAAATTTTTTGTGGCTTCTTTTCTAATGATCTGAATCTTGTTTTTATTTTTTCGTAGTCAAGTTCAAGCTCCTTCCCCTGTCCTAGAATCCTAGTACCATCATGTTTAGTCCTCGTATTTTTTTAATTTATTTTTTTAATTTTTAATTTTTTAATACTAGAAATTAGAGAGAGCATGGATAAACAAAACTAAATTATTTTTTAAGGTTGCTGTTTGGATTCATACCCCACTTATTGCATTGGACATTTGTAGTGAAGAAAAACAAATCAACTTGGACATTTGTTATGGCTTAACATAAAATTTTTAAGTTTTAACAAGTATATATATGAATTACCGGGATTGGTGAGTGAGTTTGAAACTTCCAAATCTGAAGATCCAACATTAGGTGGCTTGGCAATGGCCTAACTCAACTGTTTGACAACACTTCCTTCTCCTTTCGTTATCTTTTCACTCCATCATTACCTGTACCATCTTTAGAGTTGAAAGGATCTAAGCTGAGGATCTGAATTGCTATTGGATTTTCACTATTAATCAATGTGCAGTCTCCTTAGTATCTTATTTTGAAAAGGGAGTTGAGCAGAGTAATAGTAGTCCTTTTTCGACTATGGGTTTTGTGTTAAGCAAAATCGTTTCTATTCATTTGAGGTATAACTTCACCAATAAAGCTTGATAGTCTGGTGTGCTTGGCTCTATTTTCCCCAAAAAACTGTTGTCTGAGCCCACTTATTTTCCAGAAATTATAAATCGTTTACATCTGGTTGAATACTTCCCTTTACATTGTCCCTGTAAAGAAATTTTGCCTAACGTCTTTATTTCTTTTTTTTTTTTAATAAGATAATAGTCCCTTCTTACTAATTATTTGATGAATTCTTAATTATTTCATGCCAATGCAGCTTGAGGCTATTCCCATGTCTGTCCATTCTCTTCTGTCCTCATTTCTTGTTGTATCCTTAAATGATGCACTTTAAGTTCACTATCTGCATAATCTAGGTGTAGTATGCTGAAAATAGTTTTTTTGGCCTACTGATTGTTATTTTGTTTTAAAAGTGCTTTCATTACTTCTAAAGAAAGAGAAAAAGAAGTATGATTGACTGATTTGTGCAATAGTTTGAGATATAGTAATAAATTGAGAAAGGTTATAAACTTGATCATATGTGTTGCCTTTTATTCTTCGAGAAATCTCTGATGTTTGAAAATACTAGTGACTTAAATTCGAACAAAGAATTTCTAGCTAGATGTCCTTACAGCTAATTCTTTTCTACCATGTTCAACTAGGTCTTGTGTATTGTATGGATTACTTGGAGAAAAACATTGACTGGTTGGAGTCCAAAGTAAAGCCTCTTCTCAAAGGTTAGTATTCAAGGCCTACATTGGCATGGACTTGTAACTTTTTGTTTTTTGGAAGTGATTATCAACCATCCTGGATTCCTCGCTCTCAGATTGATTCACCCAATTTCAAAGGTAATTCTATGGTTTTTTTTTTTTTTGGTTTGATCTTGCAAAAGCTGGACCTCTAGACCTTTATCAGCGGAATATCGATCTTCATCAGTTTTGGCATCATGGGCATTTCATTGAAAGTTTGTATCAGATATTTTCTGAAACCGACCGATATAATTTATAAATAGATGAGTTTCTTATTGGAAAAATAAAAATAAAACTTCACAAAAATTTTTCTCACTTATCATGGTTCTTTAATTGGGTTTTGGATGAATTTGAAATTATTGTAGTATATCTCTTCTCTGTGTTTTGGGAAATGTTTTTGCACTAGGTTTGGCTTTTGATTGATCTAATCCTCTTGAATTGGTGTAGCGTAGTATGGGTCTAAGATTTACGGAACGAAGACGCCATGTCAGATACACAAAAAGCAATGGGAGTTAGGGTTTTTTTGTATTGTGGTTGGTTTGATTTTTTCTGAGATGTATGCAATCTGAGAATGTACGAATTGCATTATGCGTGTGTAAATCTTTTTTTTTTTTCAGTTTCATTTCACTCTTCTAGATAAGGGTGTAAAGCTATATACCCTAAAATTATTTGGGAGGGTGACAGGAACTTGTGAGAAAGTAAAGAGCACTTGGGATTGCTTAACATAAAGGGAAATATGTTATATTGCAGCCTTTTGGTAACCAATGGAGACTGGATCTATATAATAATTATGGATACCGGTCTTTTTTATTTTTATAAAAGAATCTAATATAAGATGTTGCACAAATATTTTCTTGTTTAGAATTAAATTGGGGATTGGTATGTCCTTTTCTTGTAATCATCTTCAAATCTAAACGTAAAGAAGGGCGGTCGAAAATTTTCTTCACGTTCTTTTTAAATTCCATCAGAACCACTGGTGTGTTCCTAATTTTAATATAAGATGTACATATATGTGGTGGTCTAATATAGATGTACATTATTTGGTTGCTTAAACACAACTGAAGATAATTGGCCTAATTGGCGTCACAAAAAAATTAAAGGCTTTTGCCAAAAAAATACAGTTTGTGACATGAAATTTAAATTTCTTACAATTAAGGCGCTGGCTTTTGATTTGTATCCGCTGGTGTTATATTGCTTTAATTGATTTTTGAGTGATCTAGTTAAGCTTATTTTATGTGTTGCTTGAAGGTTCCTGTATAAACCTCTCATTTTTCGATTTAATGAAGCTTGAATTTTTTTTGTATGTTGAAAACTCATAGCACAACCAGACTTATTAGAACTTTCAGTACTCAAGTAAGGGGCATTGTTATGGACTTAGTCACACATATTTTGTATAACTGGTCAAACACATACAATTATTGTCCAACAGCAGACGAACCCTACTCTCATAAAGGCCCTTGGAAGCGCTCAATTTACGTTGTGCGTGTTGTGATTGGGGGCATGGCAGGTTATGGCACAGAGTGTTTTTGCTTTTCTTTTCTCGCTTCAATATACTTTGCAGTGCGTGGGGCAAATAAACATGTACTGTTTTCAAGCACTCTTGTATTTTTAGCAGAAGTATTGTTTTCTTGTGGGGAACACTGATGATTGGCCTTGGCTTCTGATCTTGACTTCCATAATAATGTTTTCTAAATTGGCCGCCTGTTGTGGGGTAGGGTGGATCAATATTCTCATTCCTCATTCTCCTTTTTTCATTTGTTTAAAAAAAAAATCTTTTGAAAGTTTGGTGTATTTTTTACTTAAACAGAGTCTGCTTTAAATGCTATTGTAGATCCATTTTGCATTCTTCTTCTTTTTTTTTTTCCTTGAAAATTTTTTTGTTGGCTCAACTCCGTTGCACCATATTTACAATGCTTTTCGCACACAAAAACTATACTACTTAGTCAACTGATTAGTAAAAGTAAATTAGGTTACAAATGTTGCTTAGCATAATTTGAGATTGAAGAAAGATTTCCGTTACATTTTATATTTTGTTTTTGTATTCAAATAAATTTTTTGAGAAGAAAATTTTTTGCACAGATATCGTACTTCTCTTTAAGTGAATCTAGAAACTAAAAAAATTTGATTAAATGCATAAAAAAAATTCAACTGAAAACAAAAAATCATTACAGATATGAAAATCAAGAAAACTATTTTTGAAAACTCAAAAACCAACAGAGTGCATATTCCTCGTAAGATTGCCAAT